AAAGTACAACTTTAGGCCTTCATTTCACTTTTCTTCTTTCCTTCCTCCTTTCCTTCTTTTCTTTCCTTCTCTTTTTCTTTCGCCAGTAAAGTTTTTCCATAAAGGGCCAGATAGTCAATATTTTGTGCTTTGCGGGCTACACAACATCTTTGGTAACAACTCTGTTCTGCTGGTGAGGTGCAACAGCAGTCATAAATAGCATGCAAATGAATGGACATAACTGTCTGACTTTATGTATGGACACTGAAATTTGAATTTCCCATAAATTCATATATTTTGAAATACTATTCTTTTAACTTTTCCTCCCAACTATTAAAAAAATCATAAAAATCATTAGCATCTTGTGGATTATATAAAGACAAATGGCAGGCCAGACTTGGCCCTCAGGCCATAGTTGACCAACCTCTGATCTTTTTATTCCATATTTTCCAGAAAATTTAAAGATGAATTCATTAGTTTTCAGTTTTCTTACTTTAATAATTTTAATACTGTAAAAAATTTAAACAAATTTCTACACGCAGGTCATTCAGTTTTTTTGGTTGTCTTTAATTGCTTATTACCCATCTCGACAGTGAATAGGTTCATCAAAACCCCACCATGATAAGATCATATTAATTGACGGATAGGGACAGTGGGTATCTTGGAGAAGGGCACGATTATGAGACAATGCCATAAATCCAACATAGAGGATAGCTCAAGAAAGGTAGAATACATGCTTCAAATAATCAATCAATCAATCATGAAGTGTTTATTACATACTTAAAATGTTCTAGATCTCTACACCCCCTGGAATGTTTTATTTACTATCCCTACTGCTGATCAGAAAGACAATGTACTTCCAGGGCTTGCGGGGAGGGCAATGGAAAAGTACAGGGTACATTTTCTTTTTTTTTTTTCTCATGTTTACAAAAATATTTTAATAAGCATATTCAGAGTGGCAGAAGGGAATGGGAGAAGGAAAATATTTTACAGTGCAAAATTACTATGCATAAATTTAAAAACATCTCATTCATACTTTTCAATGCCTACTTAAATAGTACTTCAAATACATTTTAAAGCTCAACAGAGTTGTGTTGAACTGAGTTGCAGATGATGAAACCTATGTGAAAACATCAGAAAAGAGGACCCCCGTTCCAGATGAAAATGCAAGTGGTCCACTGGGCGGGGAGAGGTGGGGACCAAGTAACTACTAAGCGAGGCTACTGCTCCCAATGTTGTGTGCCAAGTGTTATGAAATGTACTAAGTCTTAAGCAAATTCAATTCATGATATTACCTAGATTTTTAAATAGTGCAATGACTTATCAAGTTATAGTGGCTGCATTATGAAGAACAAAGTGTGAAATACCTGTATAAAAACAAAGTACAATTAAATATTTACGGAAAGCTGAGCATTACATGTTATAATAGTGGGATGTCTTTCATTATGCGTACTTTAAAAAGATTAAGAAAAGTAAAATTTCCTAACATTTATACATGTGCCATTATTTGCAAACACGCCTGAGAATTTACTTAAAACATTTTTGTATCAATGGTTTGCAAGAACTTCACAAACCAGCAAAGAAAATGCATCTTTTAAAAAAGGTGCGATGGTATTTGTCATAATTCAGCTTTACAAGTTAATGAAGACTCAAAAGTTTTGCTTATCAGAAAGGGTCTTTATTTAGGTGACATTATAAGGACTAGTTAGGAGCTTATAAGAAAATGTAAGAAAATGTTTCTTAGTAGTCCATGTTAAAAAACAAAAAGAAGAGCACGTCTATAAACTTTTTTGTTAGGTAGAACAAGGTCCCCTGCACAAAGGCATGGCTTAAAAGGACTTGAACACAAAAGAGATGAGCATAATTCCCTTGCTGTGGGTGGGTCATTAGCTTTAGAACCGGGAGACCCTTTAAGGGATTTGTTTAGAGAATCTCTACAGATGAGCTCTGGTCAGAGATCAGGCACTGGACTTGTCTGCGTGTCCTACATGCACACCAAAACACTTCCCTGGCAAGGAGACCTGGCTGGGGCGGGACTCCAGTGCCCTGGAAAACTGGGATCCTCACGAACATTCTGCCTCTTTGACAGATCTGCTATTTTATTCCTTGTTAAACCACCAAGAGCCTTAGGTAAAGAACAGGTTTAGTTGGCAAGGTTTCCTCCAGGGTCTGGGTGGGAGAAGGCCCATGTGATGTTAAGGATACGTTAAACTCGGTCTTTTCTCAGGCTGAGCAGTCTCTTCATGGCTACTGAAGAGAAACACTTGATAGCTTTTCTTGAGGTCAAAACACTTTGTGTTTATCTCTGGAATCACAAATGGGAAATTTTTACTAATCTTGCAGATATTGATATTATAGGGTTTTTAGGGATTTTTTTTTCTTTTTAAAGTAAATTACCCTTATATTATTCTTTCAGCTTTAATAAAACTAATTTTCTAGGATTTTTACAATTCAGTGACACTGATCTGGAAGAAGTGATCAAGATAATAGATAGGAGTGAATGTGTGCGTGTGTGTGTGTGTGTGTGTAAGTGTGGGTGTGAATGAATGATAGTTGGTACTACATAGCAGGTGAAATACAGGATTCATGGTTGAGATAGCAGAAGTTAAAATCCTAACTAAACTTAGTATTTATTAACTAAGAGGTTTGAGGCAAGTTAGATGACCATCATTTCTCACCTGATAAATGGGTATCCCCTTAACTGCTTAGCACATTATTTTTCACTAACACAGAGAGGAGGTATCAGATAAATGGCAACTTTTATAATAACTAATTATTCTTTCTAATAATAAGCTCAAAAAATGTTGTGGAATTTGTGGCCCATTCACATAGTTTTAGAAAATACTTTCCTGGTCTTTCATATGACTGGTGAATTTTCACACTTGTTAACTTTAATTTCAGGACTCCAGATTTTAAAATGTGTATAGATCTGCTTTCTATCACCGTGATCAAAATACAGGAAGATATCAACCTAAACTGGAAAGATTTACTTTGACTTACAGCTTCAGAGTTTTCAGTTCATGGTTAGCTCCATTGCTTTTAAGCCTGTGGAGAGGCAGAAACATTATGGTAGAAGGGAAGGGGAAGGAAAACTGCTCATCTCATGGCAGCCAGGAAGGAGAGAGGATGAGAGAGTAAAAAAGGAAGGGGCCAGGGACAAGATATAGTTCCCATAGTTCTTCATAATCTATTCCCTTCAACTAGACCCTGCTTGCCTCCTAATAGCCCATTCAGCTATGAATTCACCAGTGGATCAGCCCATTGATAAGTTAGTGCTCTTGTGACCCAGTCACTATCCAGACACCCAACAAAATCTTCAACACAATGATCCTCTTGGGGAGGGCATCTTAGATCCCAGTCAAAACAGATCTTACGTTGTAAGGATTGAAAACTCATAGTCATGGACATGAGAGTTGCCTAGCCTATTTTGTGCGTGTCATTCCCAGGTTTTGATAATGTCTTATAGTACTGCTGCTCAAAATGACTTGGAATTATTACAGCCATACACATTTGCCAAATTGAATGAACACGAAAGAATATTCACTATTGAATCTTTAGTTTCAGGCAAGAGAAGGCCCGGGAAGTTCATTCTGAACAAGAGTTCTGGTTGTGTAGGCTGAAGGGCAGGGAAGCAGGTTGGAGAGGGTAAAGGAAGTTGGGAAGGCAGAGTGGAAGACTGAAGCCAGAACTGAAGGCCTAGTAGTCACCTGAAGTCTTACTTCAAGGAGGTTGAACTGGGCTGGTGGAACAGAAGCAGGAACACAGGATCAATGGAAAACATTAGCATAAAGCTAAGAAGTTGGGGATGGGGATAGGCAAGAAGCCTGAGGAAACTCCCTGAGACTTTTGGAAGTTGCCTCAGGGCAACTCTGCCAATGAGGATGGGGTTGGGGAGCTGAGGTGAGGGAAGTATGGAGTGTCAAACCGTGTTTTACACACACACACACACACACAAACACACTCACATCTGGTAACACTGGGGAGTAAGAAGATCTTCAAAAAATTTATTTTTCAGTAGCTGAATTTTACTATTTGTTACTCCAAACTGGTGGTTTTCAGCCCTTTGGTGCATGAGAATCATTAGAGTAAGTGTAGAGAATCACCAATACTGGGACCAAATCCAACAACAACCAGATGGAATCTGGTGAGCTGAGCTGAGTCTCAGATAGGGATATTTCTGGAAACATCCTTTCTCAGTGATTTTCCTAGATATCCAGGATTCAGAACAATTTCCCCTAAATATTTTTAATTTAAATTATTTTTAGTGAACTGATTACCATTTTCACTGAACAGGCAGGACAACAATGCTTATATTTGCTATTAAAGTTTTGCATTTCTCTACTGTCACGGTCATCCATCCTATCTCCGGGAGGTTTTTGTCCTCCCTCCTGTGTTATAATTTGAAACTCAGAATGATGTTTATATCAGGGGAAGCTGTAACCAAAATTGTTAGAATTGTGGTTTGCATTCATGCTACCCATTTGGTTGGTGGCTTTTAATTTTCCAAAAGATCCAGATTTCCAAATTGCTTAACAGAATTCCTACCATGTAGTAAGTGTTTGAAAAATGATAGAGTTAGAGACAGAGACAGAGACAGAAAGAGAATATGACAGCACTTTGTCAGGACCACTGTGAATGTTTCCTGTGCTTCCTGATTTATTTCTAGCTTAACACAATGCCTGAGAGATAGTTTGTACTTGGTAAATATTTGCAAGAAAATGAATAAGTGAGTATATAAGTATATAAGCAAGACTTTTAGAAATACGTATTTTCCAGTGGTATTGATGGAAGTCAGTCTATGAAATGACCACGGAAAAGTTTTTCAGTGGTTCCTATTAGTAGAGAATGACTCAGAAAAGTTGAGAACATTTTTTCCTGAAGATCAAACATTCTGTTGTACAAACCAGTCACTTCTTTTAGTCTTCTAAAACAATCTTGATGTTTTAGGGGGGAAAAAAAGGCTCCTGTAGTAGCCTAGAGCTCGAATGTTACTTACAATTTCCTGTCTGTCATCTCTGCAGCTCCCTGCCCTCCTTGCTCCATCCGCCTGCGCAGCGTCCACCCTCGAGACAGCCTGACTTCAGTGAATGTCCACGTTTACAGGAGCGCAGCAGGCACTTCCTGGCTGGCTCCTTTCAGACAAGGAGCCTCTGTTCGCCTTGGGACGAGGGAGCAGACAGCCTCTGACTGTCCCAGCTGGTGAGCAATGGGCCCCAGCCCCAGGACAGATACTTTATGTACACATTTTGAGCAATGAACAGAAAGCAAACTAATAGGTTATGATATTGCCAGGCTTTAAAAAAGCATCGCCCAGCAATAGTGTTTACATGCTTATATTTAAGAAAATAAAATATGTCTATCAGGAATTCCTTTTAAGTGGCATAGGGTTTGCAAAGGTGTGTCATTTCTAAATAAAGTGCTTTCATGCTCACTAACGGTGGAGGATTGTTAGGGCTCTGCTTTCCTTTGGAGGTTGTGTTTATGTCCCACTTGAAGCCTTCAACAATACTGGATGTACATTGGAGGTACTAGTTTACTTGACTGCTATTTTAAAAAGCAAAAGAAGAAGAAAATGAATGTTTCTGCTTGACTTAGAGGTTAGTAAATTGAGTGTGGCTGGTTTGTGGCCATTGGTTTGCTTAGCTTAAATAGATTCAAATCTCTGCTCTGAATCAGCTTTGGCTGCCTTGGGGGTCAAACTGGGGTCTTTTGTTAGGGGTGATCTTGAGTGACAGGAGGGCCAGGGAGGTGGAGGAAAGACAAGTATTATAGGATTGTTGGCTGGTATTGTCTCCCTGTGAGTTTTCAGAGCCTGTTTTTTCTGTTGAAAGGGAAGCTGGGGAGGGAGGGAGAGAGAGAGAACACTCTGGGGGCAGGGAGGAGAGATAAAGATAAAAGAGGACGAACACGAACGGGAGAGGAGAGAAGGGCAGGTGCAGCCCTTTAGGCCTGGTGTCCCTCCCACTCCCATCCCCCACCCCACTCACCCACCCACCGCCTTCTCGCTGACCCAAAGACAGAATATAAATGAAATGCTTTGCCTTGCTGGTACAGGACACTAACTGGCAATGGCCTGCTTGAGCTCAGGCCATTTTCTGAGCAACTCACTAATCAGAAGTGACTGGGGCTCTGGAGAGAATACAGTCCAGCCTTGGTTCCACCCTCCATGCTAATGAAGAAGGCAGTGAGGTGGATAATTAAGGGCAGTGATGTGAATAATTCCAAACGGATCATTCAAAGGTTATGAAATGCATTAGGAGTTTGGGGGCAGCAGATTTCCCTTACCAGACATGGCTGTTTTCTGATAAAATGAGTTTGCCTTTTGGAAGCACAGAGCAGCTGACTCTGGGAGGAGCCCGCCTAGGAAGACGGCTTGTGGGCAGGAGCTGACCTAGGATTATGAATTCAGGCTGCCGTGAAAGACAGTGTTCAGGAAGCTTACATAACCACATAGGGAGACACATTTCTGACATGATCTGAAGTGAAAAATAGAGAAGCATGCAAAGTGAATACTTGGTTAGCTATAGCAATGCACAAACAAGCAAACTAAATCATACCAAAATTATATATATATGGAAGGAAGCCTGGAAGAAGATCTATTATTAAGAGGGTTAATAGCAATTATCTGGGGAGTGGGGCTGTGGGTGATTCTTCTATTCCTTTCTCTATTACTTTCCACGCTTTCTGTATTAACTTGGATTATTTTTGTGATGAAAAAGATGAACACACTAAAAAAATAATTTCACATGGCAAAATTTTTCCCCAGGATGGATAGTAGAGAATTGACATAATGCTGTGGGATTAATATGGAGGGATAGCTTGTATTTTACTGCAAAAGTTGTTAAAAGTCCCAGCAGCCCTCTTCTGGATAGAAGCGTTTCCTCTGTGAAGTTCAGACTCTGTATGAATCTCCCTGGCTCTGGTTTTCTGAAAGTTTAAGAGATATTTTCAGAGACAGTAGCTTTTTTGGCTACTATGTTCTCCTTGGGGTATTAGCATTTTCTACTATATTAGTCTGTTTTGTGTTACAGTATGAAAATCCCCAAGGAAGGGTAACGTTATAAAGAAAAAGTTCATAGTTCATAGTTCTGTAAAGAGAGAGAAAGAAAGAGAGAGAGAGAGAGATGAGGGTCACAGGAGAGCCACATTAATCTCTTCCAAGGGTAGTGCCCCCAGTGACCTAAAGACTTCCCAGTTGGATCTGCTTCTTCAGTGTCCCATTATAGGGAAAGGGGGCTCTTAGGCAAGGCAAGGATAGGATAAAAGTCTCATTTAAGTTTTATTAAAAATTAATAAGGAATCTTACTAAAAACAGCTTTTGTTTCTACAATCAGACTCTACAGTTAGAATAATTAGAAAGACAAAGGTTAAAAAAAAAGCACCTGTAATCCCAACACTTGGGAGGCTGAGGCAGGAGAATCACTGTGAGTTCAAGGCCAGCCTGGGCTACATAGTAAGACCCTGTCTCAAAAATAAAGAGAGAGAACCAGACTCAAAAAGGCACCAGATGACATAATTACCATAAAAATTTATCAAAAAGAGTTAACAAAACACAAAAAGCCAAAAATATAAAAGACTGGGTTAACTAGCCCTCTGCATCCACCTCCAATAAAATGCAAAGGAGACAAGAGGAAGCCACCTAATGACTCTTATTTAATATATAAAAGACACACACACCTATACATATACATATATTCTCACTTTAGCATCATTATATTACTACACCAGATACACACATGTCCCCTTTACTTAATCATTAACTCTAAGGTTCCTTTCTATAAGCCTCCCCACCCATTTATCTGTTACACAACCAGAAGGAATGTAGACAGAAGTCCCCAGATTAGGGTCAAAGACAGTCAAAGAGCCAGTCAGATTATGACAACTTCCAGGTGCCCACACGGGGGGTGGGGGGATCACTACTTCTAAATAAAAGGAGCCAAGAACAAGGGCTTGGGGGTATTTGCCTTTCCAATGGCCCCTACTGTTCCAGAGTAGCTGTCTATCTCCTCTTTTTTTACCCTTTTCCAAATAAACCATCTACCTTTATCTTAAACTCTGCCTCTTTAATTCCTCACTAGTGCTGAAAGTTTAGGATCCTGATAGCTGCGTGCTCCAGCAGAAGAGCAGTGCATACAGCACCATCACCTCAGCACTACCACACTTAAGAACTACATCCAACCCATGAGTCTCGGAGGGCAAACCACAACTCCAGCACTGCACCCCCGTATTTAGTAGCTTCACGGAACCTCACCTAGTGATGTGTCCTTCCCAGGTCTTCTAGTTTTGGAATGAATCGTGAACATTACCTATTAAAATTAAATGGACTTCTTATTTCATAAAGTCAAGACTAGCCAAACTGCAGGGTTCATGCCAGCCAGCTGGAAAAAGAGGACTGATTATTTCTCACTCCTGTTGTGAGACAAATACAGGAGATTGGGTAGTGAATTATTACTTTTGTGAAGATTTTTATTAAATGAAGGTAATCTGCCACCTCAAAATAAAATCTATATTTTCTTCTATAATTTTTTTGACTTTTAAGCACAGAGTCTGCCATGATCTGAATGTCTGTTCCCTTCCCAAATTCATATGCTGAAATGCTAACCCCCAAGGTGCTGGCATTAGGATATGGAGCTTCTGAGAGGTGATTTTAGGTCATGAGGATGGACTGGATAAGAGCCTGAAGAGATTACATGAGGACATAGTGATAGGTGCCAAATGGGCCCTCACCAAAAGTCAGATCTGCTGGCTCTGGATCTGGGACTTCCCAGATTTTAAAACTGTGAAAAATACATTTCTGTTGTTTATAAGCCACTCAGTCTATGGTATTTTATACTACTAGCCTGAACAGACCTTATGAATTCTTAGAAATTCTTTGACTACTTGTTCTCATAATGTTGCTTAAGATACCAAACCTGCCATGTGTTTGTGCTGTTGTTGGCCATGACCTTGTTTAGGGTTGGATGTTTAATTGTTGTGCACTGCTGGAAAGTTAAGTGTCCTTCTGATTTGCTGCATTGAGCTGATAAAAGTATTCATGGCAATCTTTTGATGCTGTCAATATTTTAAAGTTTTGTCCTAATAGTTTAACATATAAATATATAAATCAAAATAGAGTGAATGCTTAAATTAAAAAAATTATTACAGTAAAAGACAAATTGACATTTATCTCTCTCAACATACTCCTCCCTCACTTTAAACACAGATATCCCATCACTCTTGCCACTTTCTAAAGCAGTTCTGCAAGTTCATGACAGTTACAAAGCTCTTTTGCAGGAGAATACTGACCATAGCCATGGCCCTTTCTGAGCACTGCCTTGTGAGCAGCCATGTTATACTCCATCCTTGCCCTCTTAATCAGTGATCAGGGGCCTGGGAGGGCACAGAGCCTGAGAAGAGCCATCCTATAGGCTGGTTAGCAGCTCGTGATTTATACCTGTTTCTGCCTATCTGCTATGCGAGTGGCCAGCTTTCCCCATCAAGTCCTGTCACTGGGAGCTAGCACTCGTGGTGTGCTTGGAGAGCTTGTCAGTGGGAGCAATGGCCTGAGTCAGAGAGCAGCTGAGCCCCTGAAGGGGCTGTAGCTCTTGTCTGCCCAGCTCCTTCTCCTCTACCCCTCTCCCGGGAAACAGACCCAAACTTCCATCCACCTAAGGCAGTCAGAGGCCTTCCCCTAGACCTAATGATTGGGCTCTCATCCTTCCTCAGGCAGGAGACTGGATCTGGCTTCATTTGCACAGGCCTGGAGGGTCAGGTGGACACTTCAGTGAGAAGGGACCAGGTGCAAAGATAGCAGGGCTAAGAGGGCCTATGACTAAGGAGAAGGCCCAGCTGCCAAAGGCAATCAAATGAAAGGTGAATTGTAGTGGGCAATAAAATGAACGAGGTTTCAATGTGGCCCCCTCTAGGGGTTGGCTGCTCCATTTAATATCAGCTTGGAAGTCTGGGCTTCATTCCCTCATGCTATAGATGAACTTTGTCTCCAAGAAGAGAAACCCAAGGCCACAGATGCTTTGTGGATGGGTTACACTCTATTTAGTGACTCACTGTCAAAATAATATTGAAAGTGGAATCCCTGAAGGCCAAGATGGGCTATATTTAACTGATTAATTAAAGTAAATCTTCTGTAAGTTAAAAAAATTATAAATACAAATAGATGTACATATTAATATAATATACATATCTGTTGATATAAATAAAAA